AAAAAAGCACAATGTGAATGCAAACCGCACCAAACGAAAAAAAATAAAGTCCATTTTTGGTCCAGACCAAACAATTGGACCAAAGGACTTTCCTGGTCTGAATACACCCTAAGTGTTTTAAGTGTTTTTGCACTCTCAGGTCAACATTGTAATTAAGAAACTATTCTTAATGTTTTGCCTGTTGAAATAAAGGTTAAATAAAATAAATAAAAATGAAGCAAAGCTAATTTGTCGAATTTACAGAAAAGTTGTTGATATTGGTCAAAATTGCGCAAAATTGTAGAGAATGTAACTTCTTTGCCGGACTGATGAATGTAATTTCTCTTTTTGATCTTTTATTTAAGATAATTGTGCAACTAAATGTTGAATCTCTTTGCCTAACATCTGTCATAATCCTTAAATACAACATTAGCAGCTTGTAAAACCTTAATTTACCTGTGCAGGTGAGCATTAAGGCTCCTCCTCTCTGTGCAGGTGAGCATTAACGCTCCTCCTCTCTGTGCAGGTGCCCTGCTATGCGTTCGACTCTGACGGTAAGAAGCACGACCTGAACCCTCTGATCAAACTGACCGATGGATARGCGGTGGATGACGGGAACGACGACGGCATCGACTTCTACATAAACATCTGCCGAAGTCTCAGCAAGTCCCTGAGCGAAGGTGGAACAAATTTCTAGAATAGATTTACAAATCCTGTAACTTTTCAAGACCGTTTTCTGTCTGATAAAGATAAAGTGGAGTTTTAAGGGCTGTAACGGCTACTGAGGGGTGAAAAGTTTAATCTAATGCACAGAATGTACAGTCTGGCTATTCAAAAACTGTTTTTACTGMAATACACAGTGGTGGGCAGCGCTAATTCAAAATTTAGCTCCGCAGTTTCTAAAGCGCTTATGAAAATATTTAGGTRCGCAACTTCAAAAACGCTTATGCCATAGAAAAACTAGAGGAAGCTCATTTTAAAGCTCAAGTTCAATTTGACACTTACTAGCTGACAACAATTCATGTACAATATATGCACAACACTGCCAACTAGTGGTGTATGAACTCTTTTACAGCTTAATTCTACAACCGCCGATTGCTGGGGATGTGATTTCCTGAAACAGACCTTTAGCTCCTGGTGTAAAAATTAAAAAGTTGTTGAGGTTTGCTAGTTCGGCTGCTTCTTGGTCTTTTTCTTTTGTTTGTTGTAGATTTTTCATTAAAGAAGCATCAATAAAGTAATTTTAAAACTGTTTATTGGAAAACTGAAGCGATGCATTCTGGGTACATGACGGATTTGATTTGTGACGGGAAACGAAAGCACGGAGAACAGGAAACTATCTTCACTTCAAAATAAGAGCATGGATTTTAAAGTTTTCCATGTAGTTGCTCCAGTTGACCACTAGATGTCAGTCTTCATCAGCATAACATCTTTAAATCATTTCTGCGTCTCTAACCCCGTTGCCTCGACCAGTTACATCAAGTATTGAGCTCCAGCGTTTAAACTTTTTTTTTTAAAAAAAGGAGCTCCYATTGTAAAGTAAAATAAATCAATACATACAAAATTTTAGTACGGATTACAAACGTTTACTGTTTTTGCTGTTGCCTTCCTGCTACATAAGCAGACACAAAGCATTGTGGGAAATCAGAACCGTGACCCAAAGCAACAGTCAGCAGGATGTATACCTTCACAATAAGTGTGTTTATC